CCTTCTTAAAACTTGTGAAAACAAAACGTGTAATCATTTAGTTTTAAAAACATTTTCATACAATATTTTTTTTCGGGGTACTTAACAGTAAATAAAATGAGGGAAAAAAATCCATTTCGAAATAATTGAACGTGCGAACAATTGACAGGAATTTATTTCAAATATTAAGGTTGTGGATTAAAATAAAACATTGATAGTGTAATAATCAAAATAATAATGGAAATAATTTGTGAAATTAAATATTGGAATTAAATAAGTTGATAATGGGTACTTAAACCAAGGATAAAATAAACTTTGTATAAAGAAATTATTGAAAATGGCAAGAACGCAAAAGGAGAATTAGTTTATAAATCTAAAATATTTATAAAAAATAAAGAGTTTAAATGTTCTCATGAACGCATTTTAATGGTTTCTGTAGTAATATAATATTACAATAAAGACGGTCGGACGCATGTTTTTAAAATGAAGAATTTTAAACAAAGGATTTTTTCCAATAATTATGAAAAATTGAAACCGCATTTGAATACATGAGAAATTAAAGTTTGAAATTCCTAAAATTATTTAGTATGATTTCAGTAATGACTTAAATTCGAACCAAGTTTGTAGATTGCAAGCAAGGGGTAACAGTGGACTGCGACCACAAAATATAGATCTATTGTGCCCCCTTATTAAGTGCGGACCAAGTCCCTATAACACCCCCACTCTCCTGATGAATTTCAGTAACTTTGAAGAGCCAATAGACCGCAGCTCCGCTGAAGTAAGCACGTTATTCCTCAGTACCTTACTTCTCGCCCGCCCGCATGACAAAAGTGAAATACTTAAAGAGAAAATTTTTGACTCTTCGAGTACGGCCAGACGAAAAACAGACCATATTTTCCATTTTTTCGAAACTCATGCTATTGGTAGAGAAAATTTTTGTTCTGTTTTGTATTATCTTTTTCGGCATAATCAAAATACAATTTTTGTCATCTAATTAAATCCATACAAGTTAAAGCAAGACCATAACTTGGAGTTGACACTCTAATCAATGCAGATAATTAAGAATCTGGAACGACCAGTTAACAATTAAAGCATTGAATTTAAAAATTGAAATTATCGTTGAAATTCCCACAACTCAGTATCCTTATAGAATTCAATTGAAAAACTAAATGTTTCTTGTTACTGCTACTCAATCACTCCATATATACGTGTGTGAATTATTTTTCTTATTTTTAATATCACGATCTATATTAATAAAATATTTTTAAATTTTGTTATCATTATAATTTCATTCCACAATTTTAAATATGACAAATTATTATTGGTGTATGAAAATGATGATGAACTATAACTTTTTATTTTTATTTCAAAAAAATTCAAGGTAATACGAAAACAAAAATTTGATTTTATATTGTAGCTTGAGGAAGGGAACATTTTTATCTCATTGTAATTTGGTACCTCAATGAAATTGAAAAATAAATATTGCATGAATTTCCGAATGATAATAAAAATTTTATAATGGAAAAACTTATATATAACGTACATGGAACAAAATAAAAAATAAAAGATAAAAATCATAAAAAAAAATTCTTATTTTTTATTCACATGAAATTCATGAAATGAAATTAAAAAAATTCATGCTGAGTTTAGTTTAGAATAACAAAAGTTTTATGCAGTTTTCGTAAAATTAAAAATGTTTCATGGGAGTGTGTGTGCTTGTGTGCGTTTATTATAACAGTAGTTTTTTGTTATTTTTATAAAATTTAAAAAATTTCCTATGTAACAGGATCAATAAAATGGAAAACATTAAAATGTGTGGAAAATTACCAAAGGTCAAATTATTTTTTTTTCATTCTTCCAATTTTTCATTAATATTGTTCTAATCTAGAATCTAGAGAAATGAATTTGAAATTATACTTAAATTACGAATTTAATATTTCTTTTAAAATTGACATTCTTGAAGTTTTAATTTATTTTTTTAATTGCTTATAATCGTAATTATTTTTGAGACTCTTGGCATTATGCTAACACAAAGGTTAGCACAAGTTTTTAAAATTAATTTCATACTGTTTTCAATTTATAAACAAAGATTATATTTTATTAAAGTCAGTAATTAAATTTAATTAACATATCACAATTATGATACCAAAAATATATCACAGTTTAAGAGTTCATATACTCTTGGAATTGGAATCACCGTAATATAATGCAATAAATGAGTAAAATTTTATTATCGTTTGAGTCATATGGGGAATATGTTCATCTCACAATCGTTAATAAATTAGTATAGAAATATATTGCGACTAAATGCCAAATATGAACATTTGCTATGGCTATCATGAAGATAATGAGACTAACTAGATGAACGCCATTGGACATTGTACAGAATCATTTCAATAAATTAAAAATTCTATGAGGATATTACAATGATAGGTAAAAATTACCATTTAAATTAATTAAAAATTCAAAATAAAATTCAGAATTTTATACTAAAAATAATTTTTTTTAAGTGAAATTTTTGTAGTGATTTTTTGGAAAACAATTCTATTCGAACCATGGCAAAAGACCATACTTTGGGTTTTAAATTAAATATTTTATTAGGCTCTTTCCCGGCCACAAGTGAGCTATTCATTTTTCTCGTTTAATTAAAATATGATTTTTTCAAATTAATTTTACCATTCAATACTTTTCGGATCATTTAATTTTATTTTCCAAAATCATATTATATTAATAATTTTACGACTTAATAGCATAAACTTTCGACGAAATGGGCACATTAAAATTTTGATTGTGACGAAATGAGCACATTTAAATTGTTATTCAAGTGGTATTGTTATATACAAGTAAATAAGTAATAATTAAATATTTCTATCACTGCATTATAATAAATAAGTATTAAGATTTTGAATTTTTCTTCTCCAATAGAAAATATTGAAGAAAATAACCGTGATAGTGTTAAATACGTTCAAGTCATCATAGAGCCTGTGGCACAAACTTTAATTTCTTTTATTTTCCTAAAATCCAATATAAATTCAATTTGAAATATGGCACTTAATTATTTTCACATGAACTCTATATGGGAGCTGTATGAGATTCTTTTCAAAATTTCATCAACTTTTAAATTGAAAATTACATAAGACAATATTCGAAAACTTAAAATGAAATTTTAAAAATTAAACACCTTAAATTTAATAAACCGTGCAAAAAATATTGTATGAATTGTATACCTGAAAAAAACTGCATAATATACATACAAACATAATCATGTATCAATTTCAATCAATTCTCTTTTTCTTATAACAAAAACATAAATCAATTCTCATCAATTTGACATAAAACACCTGGTGCGTAGCATGTTTGTATGTAGATAATTTTAAAAAATAACAATTAAAATTTAAATATACATGCACACAATTATACGTATACATAAAATTTTCACATAATTATCATCTATTCTTTAAAATACCTAAAATAATCATTTATTATTAAAACATTGATTTTCGATTTGACCTTATGTGTCAAAATCGACTGTATAACAATAAAAAAATATTTAGAGAGAGGGAGAGAGAAAGACAAGAAAATACGAAAAATTCATCGACAAATGATATTCAAATTGATAAAAAAAATCAAAAAATAGAGAAGAAAAAACTGCCTCACACATAATAAATTTAATTTTCTTATTTTTCTCTCTATATTACGGTTGACTGATTTTAGAAAACAATTCTATAACGTATACACGATACGAAAACATTAATTCACCTTAAACTTATAAAGTGACAACAATGGAAATATTTTTTTAGAAAACAAAAATTATAGGTACAAATATTTTCTTTGAAAATAAGAGACAAGAAAAAAGAACAATAACACACCTACCTCACCCTATTTCACCTTAAAATATAAAATCATTAAAAAAATATGATATAAAATATTTTTCCTACCTGAGCCTAGTTATTTTTTTTTACAGATTTTTCTGAAGTTTTATGCATTTTTAAAATTTACGAAAATTAAAACGAAAAAAAAATGGTAAAAAAAAATTCAAATTCCACCTCACTTTTCATTTAATTCTCCCCAAAATGAGAAAATCGTGTTCAACAAAATGTTCGCCCCTTTATTATACTTCATTCATCTCTTGTTATAATAATAACATTTTAATAATTTTAAAATATTAAAATTTTTTACAAGTTAGATCAAATTTGTTTTTAAAAATGCATCGTGACTCTGAGATTTCATGGTATATGTGTTGATTGCAATATAAGACCCCTCCTGTCCCCTCTTTCCTTGTCATATTATGTCTCTTGTCCATTATTACGTTAAATTCAGGAGTAAATTCCATTTCGATCTCACTTCTATATTGCTCTGCTATTTACATAACGTTTACATTTAAGCTTGTGTTTTTTTTCTAACAAAAATCGGTAGTAATATGAAATCTATACACAATCTGCTGTTCTTAGTGATATAACATAGAAATTATTGGCATTTATTTTGTATACTATTACATATTATGTAGTATTTTTCTTACAAGCGCCGCGGGTATGCTTACAATTTAGTTACATTGTGTTAAGAAAATTGTTAAAATATTTTCATTACAATTTTTGAATTTGATTATTACATTATGCACAATTGATATTAGCGTTAATTTTTTTATTATTTGAATGAAATGAATTACAAAATAAACAAAAACAAAAATATTTAAATTGAAAATACATAAAAAAAAAAAATTTATTTTGTTTAAGAGAAAATTACAGTGAATCATTTCTCTTTTTGTTTTTCTCATTATGTTCGACTTAAAAAAGAGAAAAAAGGAGAAAGTGATTAAGAATATTAGAATAGGTTTAGCCGACATTTCACAAGCAATATTTTGACTTTAAATTAATTTGTAAATTTATTTGTAATGAAATTATCCATAAATTTAACGAAAATAAAATTGTAAAAGTTCCTTAAAAGCTCTTCAGAGTGGTTACAATTTTTCCGCAATTAATAAAATTTTAGAGCAAAATATAAGGTAATTAATATTCAAATACCTGAAGAGAATTTGAAGCACCAAAATTATTTATGTTAAATGGGGATTTCAGTAATGACACTCTCTTTTTTCTGAATCATATGATGAAGTTGACTATATGTGTAATGTTGTTGATCTTATTCACATGTATAACACTCATTATAAAATTACCTGAAAAGAAATAAAAATTATATAATATTAAAAATTTTGTTAGAAAAAAATTAAATTTGTAAATTAACAATTAAATTAATTTTACAAGATTTATACAAACATAAGCTTATTAGTGTAAAATCATTAAGGCACAAATTTATCAAACAATAAGCAGTATTACTCTTACTCTATTGACTATTAACCACTAGAAAACTAAATCTGCACCAGAATTTAAATTTTCCCCTATACCGATATTCATACTTGATTAAGCAATAGAATTTAATTATAATTTTAAATACTATCAATTTTCGTCAACACTGTAATTCGAAAAAAGAAAATTAAAATCAAATAAGATTTCAAAGGTTTTATATAGAAGTTTATTAAAGTACTTGTACCATACTTGCACACTTTCTGTTTAAAAATTTGCTTCGTATACCGCACTAGCTACGTATATGAAAATACTTTCTTTATCATTAAAAATCTAATTCATATAATAGGGAAATAATGTTAAAAATGTTAGCTGTCAAGATAATGTAAATACAAGTGCCATAATAATCTTTTTAATGCTGTCATATACCACTATTTTACAAGAAAATTTTATGTTATTATTTACTATTCGTATATATGAATATATTGTGTATAGAGAAAATAAAAGAGAAGAAAATAAAAGCGATTAACGTGACGAATTTTAAAATTTTTTTTTTTTTTAAATGACAGCAACAACAACTACCTAATACTCATTATACAACATAATTTTTTACTCTCAACTTTTACAGCTCAAGTGTTATTATATTATGTACTGTTCCTGTATAATCGTCATAACAATAACAATAATAATATTAATAACAATATGTGCTTGTACTCGTACTCGTGTATAAAGCAAAATAGTGAGTATGTACTGTTTTAGAAGTTAATTGCCATTTTAGTATGATTCTTTTCATTATTATTTAATCGTATATAATAGTGAATAATCGCAGTTACAGGGAATTATTATTTAGAAAAGTACTTGTTTTTTTTTTTATTCCACATAATACGAGCATTTAATTGTTAAAAAATAAAAATTCTTGAAAAAGAGTGTGTACATGAAACTATGAAATAAGCAAATTATGTTGATGATTTTAACGTTAATTTTATTTTATTTATTTTTTACAAAATTCCTAACTTATGAGTAAATCTCTGTAACAATATTGTTCTATCATACGAGTTTATTAAATTGTTGTGATTTAATTATTGTTGGTATAAAAATAAATTTAAAAGTTTTCAATTGTTAAATAAGACAAAAGCCATCACTTAATGATGAAATCATTCGGATATTACTAACACAAAAATATTGGATTTTAAATATTCACGAATCGTTTTTTGGAGTCTTTAAAAATGTTAACTCAAATTTTGTTATAAAAATCTAGGATTTCTAAGAAAAGGGGTTCTGTTTTTTTTTTTATTTCACTTTAAAAATGTAGCAAACCTTTAAGCCCTCTTGAGGATCAACAAAAATTTTGTAGAATTAAAAACTTAATAATCCATTTTTTTTTTATTATGATCTAATTGAATTATGACTCATTTACAATATGAATGACTCTTACAGTCAGTCAATTGTATTATGAGAGTGACTCTAATATGCTATAGAAAAATCTAAATATGAATAATTCAAAAATTGAATAAAATTATCATTATTATCGTAATGATAATGAAAGTCTTTTAATTGAAAAATGTAGGCCAGCGGTATATCAAAAGAAAAATTGTTATTTGAATAAGTTTGTTATTATAAGCCTTCGCGTTCCATCTGAGCATATAATATAACACACTAAACTAGGTTAGAGTTTAGTTATGAATATATTGTAAATAGAAATCCTGTCATTTACTGAGGAACAACTCAATATTTCAAGGTAAACCATATGGGTTTGACATTTACTTAAAATAAAAAAAATAAAAAACCATCTACCGGAATAAATGTGCACACATTTTTCTTTCAATTACTTACTCATTTATATGGGCTAGTGTATTAATTAAAACTTTTATTTTCTAACACGCATTTACTTATAATATTCGATGCGATTTTAAGCTCTCACTTTCTTTAAATCAGAACATGACTGTAAAAACAATTCAAATTTGATAATTAAATTTGTTTGTTTTTTTTTAAATAATAAAACCAATATGAACTGCCGATCAATAGTAATTTTCCAGATATTTGGTAAAAATCAATGAAAATGAACAAACAAAAAAAAAGCTCTGAATTTAATTGAATCTTTTAAGAACGAATATAACAAATCCCCTAGGTATTACAATAATTTTAGATTGTCAAACATAGAGGGATTTATAAATAAATTAAATTACCAGATGATCTCACTATAATGGTCGAATGTACACTCAATTATTGCATATACAAACATACTTATACTCTAAAATGAATATTTATATAAAATCCAATATTTCTGAATGAAAAAAACAGATTTTTACATAAAAAATTTTTATGAATATTGGAATTTTTTCTATTATTATTATTAATTGAATTATTGAAATATTGCAGTTTATTAAAATTTTAAAAAATAAATTGAAATATGAAAAAACAATTATTGAATGTAAAATTTGTTTTTTTAATTAAAAACAGACTAATCTGGAAAAATATTTTTAAAATGAAATTTTCAAAGCGGATTAATAAAATTTCAATTAGTAGTTGAATCTCTTGGAATTTTAAGTTCCATATTGGTAAAGGACTAAAATCTTCGGCAAGTCAACTTAATACACAGCACAAATTTTGAGCTGTGGTTAGGCAAAGTTCGTGTTCTATATGAATCGCTTTAAGGGAAGGATCACTTCAGTTTACTTAGCATTCATTTATCTGGTTAAAGGCAAATAATTGTTAAAACAAAAACAGAAAAAAGAACAATATGCAGTATCAATTGCGAAATCTTACTCAAAATCTTATATGGAGCACATAATAAATGGAATATTATGCTGTATACGCACACGAAATAACAAAAAGTCGAACCGATCAGAGCTGACTCCCCCGAAAGCGATATTATTTTTTTAATCAAAAGCAATTAATTTAATAAAATTTTTATGTCAAACTCTTGTCAAATCTTAGAACTCTCCAATTGTACAGTGTGCTCATTGCTGTTAATTTCTTAATTGATTAAGTTATTTGAAAACTAAATTATGATTTAACTATGCCATTGAAACGCCTGACTTGTATAATTTGCATTGAATATGAATTAATCTTTGAAGTGATTAAATTGTTCATATACCATATAGTTTCTTCACAAACCTTTTTTAACAATTTGTTATGTCATAATATGCTTATTATATGTTAGTAAATAATTACATACCGAACCACATAACTAAATAGAGTGATTATAAGTTAATTACACTTAAAAATCTGCTCAACTGTGTTTAAATCAATCATAATTTATTCATAAATTGCTCTCAATTAAAAGTAAAAGAAAACATATATTTGCGCCTATTAGTATGCAATATTTCATTATATTCTATATGAAAATCATACAAACTTTCATTTCTAAAATTGTTTTTAATATTCGATATAGAATTTAAAAATTCTTTTATAATATTGAAAGAGCAATTAAGCATTTAACTATTTTTTTCTTTTATACTTAGCAAACACGATTTTATAATTATTCTTTTCCATATTAAAAATATAAAATACAATATATTTTTAATATTTCAGTAATCGTATGCATATTAAACATGAAATTCGAATAATGAACAGTTTTTTTTTCGTTTTTTGTTTTATCAAGTATTTTTGGGTCAATAATCAAGCGTAATACACTTACTTATGCAAACGTAACATATTCTATATATTATATATACATATATATATACATTGATTGGCACATATTAATTTTCTACCATATTATATATTTTCCATCTTTTGACATTGAACTCATTAATTTTTATACACATAAGTAGAATAACTACAGTACATAAATAATTTTAGAAAGCAACTTGAGTTTATATGCTCTCGAAATATTTACAACGGGTGATTTTTTTCTTGGGTTTTCCGTGTTTTCCACTTAACATATTATTTGTTACAGTTGTCAACGTTAAAATTAACTCAATTTAATTTGTCTTTTACCCTCGAGGAACTGACAATAGACCCAAAATTGCTAAATCTTAAAAAGTTTTATAAGCCTTTTTATTTACTACACTGTTTTATTTATAGCTGTCAATATCAAATAGATTCAGTTTGATTTTTAATTTCTCCACGGCAAAAACTGATATTTGAAAGCCCTTCAAAATTTGTTATCGCAGTTTTGGAAATATGATATTCAGTTCTTTCGGTTAGCAATAATTATACAATTTGCATTTGCCAGTTGTTAAAATTTATTTAGAAAACTACTTACTTAGTAACGATAACAGGAAAATAATATTATGGAAGTGTAATTATAGTGATTTTATGACTGAAATGTGCGAAAAATTTACCCAAATTAGAACTTTCGAATACACTACCTAAAATATGTAGTGATGATCATCATGTACAGGAAATCATACTTAAAAAGTAAATGCCAGTAATTAACTTATCAATTACAATTATTTCTGTATTCTTACATTAATTCAAAATCGTTTAAAAAATCACCCATTCTTTCCGCTACATATGATGTACTTATATTCAGAACTACTTGAGGTATTTTTGAAATTAATAAAAGGAAATTTTTTTATAGTTATGAAAATTTATAAGTTCTTTCTTTTATAAAAATACATATTATTACAAAATAGAAAATAAATCAATAAAATAAGAAGTAGTAAGAAAAAAACAGGGAAATTTTCAGATTAATTATGGTATTTATTTTGATTAACAATGTGGAAATTAATAAAAAAATTGAAATTCAATAAAATATATAAAACAACAGTTATATGTATAACAAACAAATATAACAATAACAATGCATAACTTTGTTCATTTGCTGTAGTTTAAAGAACACGTGTTAAGCAGGTAAAAATTTCAGTATAAATATTATACATAATGCTAAGTTAGACTCTAATACAAATTTATTTTAGATTTAACA